AAAAACAAAAGTTCTGTACCCTCCACTTTTCAAACAATTTTATATAGACCTTGTCGAAACTCAACATATTTCCTGATATTCTCTCACTTTTTCTATTCCCTACATTTTTGTAACAGACTTCGCTTCAAAGCTAAAGCGGATCAAAACTCAACATACAGCATCCAAGATTTTACGACGTTAACAAGATCCTGCACACGATAACATTAAAAAAATGAAAGCCATTGCTCATGCATTTAATGTTATCATCATTCATTGATTTACCTCGTCTTGATTTATTTATTTTTGTTATTTATTGTAGTTTTTTTCCGGGTTGAATTGATGTTCATGTTTTTGACCAAAAATATGTATTTGCTCATGAACCGTTATACACACAATTATGTTGCACATAATTCTCTGCAAACAAATGTTTCACACACACTTGTCTGTTCACACAATTGTTTTACATACAATACTCGTGCCTCCATTTGATACTCAAACAACTATGATGATGTCTGACAAAAAAAAGTGCGAAACCATAATAAATGCTAGCACTCTTTATCACACATATTTTTACTCAAATCAAATAAGTCTATGTAAAAGAATTTTTCTAAGGCTTCAACACCATCGTTAAATATGTGTTGGAAGCAAAATTAAAGTTTTTCAAATTCCGAATTTACCTGGGCAAAATTGAAGTTCGATTTTGTCTGGACAACATTAGAATTCGACTAGAGATAAATTTATTCAGCGACGTCTTTTACTAAAAATAAAGTGGAATGAAAAGAAAAGAGAATATTTTAGTCAAAACGGTTGCGATGACAAGCAGTATAAGTATAGACGTACGCGTTACAATCTAATTAAAAAACTATGTATGAATAGAATTCAACAATTAATCGCACATGTTATTGTAATGGCAAGTGCATTACAAAGCAATGCCCATATAAAAAATAATGGAAGTGTTATGTTCCACAATATGTCGTGCCAAACGATGTCGTTGTACAAAAATACATGAATAGACAAAAGTATCTTGACTTATAAAGTGTTTACGAAAGTAAAAAATACATTGTTGAATAAAAATAATTATTCTATTCAGATTTTTATTTATTTCAATTGTATTCATTTATCTCTAGTCGATTCTAATTTTGACCGAGAATAATTACATATTCGATTATTCAACATATATTTTTGCCTTTTATATTTCGATTGTTTAATTATCTTACTATCATTAATAAATGTTAAAAATGCATTATATTTATACTACATAGTAACTATTTGATAAAAACATCTTTTCATAAGTCATAAGCCGTTGAATATTTTTATTCTAGTATATAGCAAAGTCATTCTTAACAAAAATCCTTTAAATTTCAATGTAAAATAGATTCAATTTATTTATGCAATGCTAAAGTCTAATGGTTTGTAGTAATTCAAAAAAAAAAATACTCTCCATTGCTTTAATAATATTTCTGCTGATCACATGCGTTGTAAAATAGAAACACATTAATATTTTATAACAATATACTTTGAGAACAAAAACAAATTTTGAGAAAATCAGTTTTTCTTTAAAGACACAAGATCATATAAGCTCAATCAGAAAAACGTATGGTATTTAAAAATTAACACTTGAAAAAAAGGCAGCATTTCATTTTTTCTTTTATTTTCTTTTTCATATTTATTTGAAACTAATAAATGCAAATGTCATTAACAACAAGTCTGTTTTTTCTTTAGACGGCATTTCTTCTTGTTTTTTGATTGTGAAACACAGTGTGGTTCCTTTTCTCATCTTGAACTCCTTCAAAGGCATGTTATTATTGTTGCCAAAGACGAAAAGAAAAGAAAAAAAAATTAAAATTTGTTTTTTTGAATAAGAAAAGAATCATACACTCGACCAGCATATTATATAAAAAGAAGTATTACCATAACATCAACGTCTATAACGTACTTCAATAGAATATTATATTTTAACGTGAAAGTAAGTAAATGAATTGACATGATTTCCATTTAAATTAGAAGAATAAAAAAAAAAAGAAAAAAAAACAGAAAATAATATTCAAATTTTTTATTATTAAAAGTAAAAGATACGAATATTTCAAGTACTATTCAATGGGAACATTATCTGCTAAGCCTTCTGGAAATATATCTAATCCTCAACGAATAAATCCTACTGTTGAGTCCTCATCTTATATCTTAGGTAAAAATAGATCAACTGTCACTGCGAAAAATTCCAATCAACTAAATAATAATTTTGAGTATAATCGATTAAATTTTATTCCTGGTTCAAAATCATTATGGGATTCACCATTAACATTACGAGTACCAAGAACAGCATCAGTATTGCAAAAATCTCCTACAATATCTAATCTATCTGTATCACCACAACAACGATCAGAAGATTTAGATAATTCATCTGACATGTTAACTCAACGAAAATACAAGTGTGATCAATGTGGAATAGTATTTCCATTAGATGAAGCTTTATTTAAACATAAAACAAGATTTTGTATTGGTGTTAAAGATTCTGGTATTGGACGAAAACCTGTTTATTCAGATGATGAAGATATTGATGATAATAGTAGTTATGAAGATAATAATTATATCAAAAAACCAACCGTAAGAAAAGTTATTCGATACCAAACACCTACGAAAAAAGTAAGATTTAGATTGAATATTTATTTTTTTTTGAATTAAGAAACGACTAAGAAATTCAATATTAATAACAAAATTTACTTCTGGAATTTCTTTGTTATTTACTTGTGAAGTTTTAAAATCATCTTGATAGTAATTGATATGGTTTTTTTTTGTTTTGTTGTTCTTTTTTTTGCTTCGTCATACATATATAATTATAAAACAAATTATATTAATCTTTCGATTTTTTCATAGAAAATAGAAGAAGTTAATGAATGGAAATTACAACGTACAATGCTTGAAACCGTCGAAGATATTGAAGATCAAATATTAATTAATACACAAAAATCACAAAAACATACGGATAATATAAAAAAACAAGATAATATTTATAATGAAATTCTCGTTGAAGTAAGAGAAATATTTAATTACACAAAAAATAAAATAATTAAATATTTATTTTATTATTTGTTCTTTAATAAAATACAAAATAAAGAAATGAAAAATAAGATCTCATATTTTTCTTTACTTTGATAAGTAATATATTTTGTTATTTGAATATTTCTTTTTTTCTTTAAAGTACGAACGATTACAAAAGCAAGAACAAGATATTTTATGTCAAATGTACAACTTACAAATCGAATCTACACCAGTAAAAGATCTTAATAATAAACTTAAACAAACGAATCAATTAACGGATAATCAAAACGATCGATTTCTAGAATTACAACGAAGAAATAATCGTCTTGAACAAGAACGTCGAAGTAAATCTATATTTTTCTTTAAGGAAATTCACCTTTTCATGTGTTAAAGTCAACATTTTTTCATCATTAATATAGCTTCGAAGTATGTTCTATCAAACGCCATATACATAAAAGCTCTTCGCGTTGTTAATTAGTACTTTTATGAAATCTGTCACAGAAAAACTTGTAATGTGATTATCCTTTGTATGCAAAATTCTTCTAATGATATTTTCCCAAGATGCTAAGAGCATGGGTCCTAGATCTCCCAAACGACCATTTTTCGATCCCTTCAGTAAGAGAAAAAAGTTCTAATATACAGTATTGAACAAAAATATAAGAGCAACGTATACATAGGTCTTTTTTCTACAATATCAAGCATTTTACTCGAATCAAAATATTAGTTTGAATAGACACTGAATTTCTCTATCAAATGCATTCCATATCGAAGTTTCATAGATGATTCATGAGAGAAACGTTTCTGAAATATCGAAAACGGTACTTTTGGAGTCCCAGAAGACTTTGTGAGAACTATTTTTAAAAAAGTTCTATCTTAAAGAGCATAAAATTCTGTATCAAATGAGCGGTTGCCACATTTCCGATGGCTTTCTCTTTAAAAATTATAAGCATCACAAAAAGAACTAAAAAAATCATCTTTTTGCAATGTTATGATTAATTTCGCGCTTTTTTTTTTCATTTTTTGTGATGCTTATAACATTGTAGGGAAAGGTTGTAGAAAATACGGAAATTCCTCATTGTATGCAGGATATTGTGCTCTTTAAGATGATACTCTTCAAAAATAATTTTCGCAAAGTCTTCTAATACCTGGAAACAATCGTTTTGTGTTTTTCAAAAACTTTTGTCTCATTGGTCATCTATAAAATTTCCGTATGAAATGTATTTGATAGAGAACTTCTTTGGCTCTTTAAAATTAATATTTGAACTTGAATGAAACGTTTGGTACCGTAGATCGAAAAAAGTAGAAATGCATTGCTCATATATTTTTCCTCCGACATTCGGCAGTCTTTTAAAAATAAATATCATTGAAAACAACATATTTTTTTTTGTTGATCCTAGTTGTCATAAATAAAAATTGCAGCTCGAAAAAATGAAGCGTAGAGTTTTACAAAGAGAAAGACATCTAGTCATCTTTGACTTTTACACCTCTTATATCTGTCTGAATGAAGTATCTGGAAATGTTGAGTCTATGACAGCTTTTACTCTACATATTGAGATCTATCTTCTTTAAAAGTTTCATAATTTTTCGTCGAGTCATTTTCGAGAAACTCAGAAAAGGAGTTCTTCAATAAAATGTTAAGTCTTTTTTTCGTGTATCATTTAGTTATTCAACAAAAACTTGAAGAATTAATATCAAATAATTATCAGCCAACAACAATGTCAAATTATAAACCATATAGATTGTTACGTGAAATGAAAGAACAACAAGAGCTTAATGAAAAAGCTTTAGACTTTCTACGAGGACGAACTATTTATACAACTGGGTATTTATTTATTTATAAAGATAATTTTGTGTTTCTTTTTATTAAATAGTTAATTATCAACTGTAAGCACTACATCATCTTTACCACATGCTGATAGTCGATTACGACGAGCAGTTGGTGATAATGTCAGGTAGAAAAATTAAAGAAATATTAAATTAAGTGATCTCTAGAATTCAGTCGAAAGAGAATCTAAAAAAATAGCCATGTAGTGTTTTTATCGTAGATCAGCGAGTATTGATAGTTCTTGAAGACATTTGAGCCATTAAGTCTTACAAAAACGAAGATATTTGTTTTAATTAGTTCCTCGCTGCTGATACTACTGTCTTTCTATTATAGCTTGTTCGATATCGAGACAGTTGATGTTCATTCTCGCCTATGAATATATCATTAAACCGTTTCGTTCTATTTTGAGTTGATTGCCAGAACAGTTAAATTTAATACTATATACAAGAGATCTGCCTTTCGTACGTCAAACTTAACTATAATAGTATTTCTATACCTTACCTAATTTTAGTCAGCTGACTAATATGATGATGAAGATAATAGATTGAAAGCAGAAGACGATCTTTAGAAAAGAATAAACAAGTCATATAGATCTGAATGATATGACTTTACGAAACATTTATTCATTTAACACCGTATAGATAGTGGCGAACATAAGTTTAGAGTAGCCGTCTTTTTTTAATATGGTTCTCGATGGTAGTAGCTAGAAAAAAAATCTGAAAAAGTATTTGAGTAAATAAAAGAATTCTCTATCAAGCTTTTCAGGTCTAAAAATTCCAATAAAAATACTTCGGCGCAGATGTCTGAAGAGCTAATACTTTCAAAACCAGTTTTCTAGTATCCATGTGAAGTTTTTTCCAAATGGTTTTATTTGATAGAGTAAAGATGAGATGTTTTTCTTTCTTCATCGAATTATATTCAATTTATAGAAGCCTTCAAAGCGTCAAACATGGTGAACTCTTTGAAATTTCTCATAAAAACATAAGAATAATGCTTCTTGGGTGTTCTGTGAATTGAATGCAGTTCGACGAAAAGAGCGCGAAACATCTTATTTTGCTCGATCAATCAAATGAAACCATTTCTAAAAAGCTTGAAATAGATGCCAGAAAGCAGGTTTGACGATTCTTAGTTATCGAGACATCTTCATCTAAGTCGTTTTATTAGAGTTTTCATACTCACAAATTCTGATAGAGAATTCTTTTAGTTACTCAAAAGTGTAACTGTTCTAAACTTTGTCCATTGCTGCACCTGTTGAGTACAGACAAAAAAATTATTAACATTGGAAAAAAACGCTATTTTTGAGTAAGAATATTCTTAATGATATTTAATGAACTAGTTAAAAATATATATGAACTCCTACCTGATTCTGCAAAGGTATGAGCAGCTACTTATAATGAAAATTCGTGTACTATAGGTTAAGGAGATTGATCATATTCAAGTCCATTGAATACTCTCACTGTCAAACTAATTGTTTTAAAATATGAGCTGCCCATCGCGTGCACGAATCACCATATTCGAATTTCAACGAGTTTACATTCCATGTCATGTGTTTACACTTCACAATTTCAGCAACATTAATTTTTTTTTTTTCAACATGGTTAACTTGAGTTCGATCTCAACAAGTTGCATGAGATAAACTAGTATCACACTTATTCAAAAGCAATTTTATAAAAAAAATCCAATATACTGTTATACTGATAATAGACACAAAATTCAAACCGTTGTAAATTAGTTCTGAATATGTATGATATTGTTTGTCTTATATAACTGGCCGAGTGCTATTGAACCTTAATGGAAAAAGAAAAATCAATTCTAACATAATTTTGCGGTGTGGCCAAATCGATTACCTCGACAAGTATACAATATCAGCAGCTCATATTTTAAAATAGTTAGTTTAACATTAAATGCATTCATTATAGCCAAATGCTGTTAATCTCCTTAACTTACAGTATGCAACCTCTCATTTTTAGTGACACGGATAAAGAAACAAGATAAATATATGATGTCCAATCAAAAACATTCCTCATTTTCCAACGACAAAAATACTCTATTGTATATTTTAAATTATAAATTTTCTGCTCTTAAAGTCAAGTTCTTTTTTTTATTGAACAATTAGAAAACAAAATGACAGTCAGACCCATGGTCTTTGTAGTCAGTACTAACAGATGTAGTATATCATATGGAGAATAATCCGGATAGTATTTGAAGCAGCAATAATGAGTTAATGTTTTTGTTAGACTACACATATGTGATGGGAATACTATGCTTTCAGAAGTTCTCGAAATGATTATATGCAATCCGGTGGTCATGATGCAAGTATTATTACACGATATAGTGATCTTGAATATAACTTAAGTGCCTATGAAGATTACCCATGGACGAAAGATTATCCTGAACCATTGAAACAAGTTCAATGTTTGTATATCATATGCTTGGTTTTTGTTCGTCCTTCAATTTATATGTTTGTATTTATTACTAGATCAATCTGAACGTCATATTGATCCAATAACCGAAGGATTAAAATTAGCTAATGAGCAAAATCAACGACTACAAAATGAACTTCATGAAATGCATAAAAAATTTGATACACTTAGTGCACGTAATAATTCATATTGATTTTATCTTTACAATTAAGATTATTTTATGTTTTTGTTTTCTTTCTGTCATTCAAAGGTACAAAACAATTAGAATTATCAGTGTCAACAAATGGAATGCCGAATTCAATTGATAAGTATGATCGTTATTTACCACCAAAAGCTATAACATATGAACGATCTGTTCGTGAAAATAAAAATGATCAATTTGATCAGCATGAACATAGTCAACAAAAATCATTAAATACATTGGATAAACGTATTACACATGCAAGTCCAGCTCCAAGTATTTCAACTTCAAATATAAATAAATTACGTAATCCACTTGCTCCTCAATCATATGATCCAGTTGGTGGTTTTATTATATTTTTTGATTTTATTGCTAATCTTCCTTCAACAATTCAACAATGTTGTCTTATAACATCTATTCATCATCCTAAATCTGGACTCGGTGAACCATCACAATTACAACCATTGAAATGTGAACAATATATTGATGGAAAAAATGATGAACCTATGAATATTGCTCTCATTGCTACTAAGCAACCTGTACCAGGGTTAGTTAATTAAAAAATTTATCTATGTATTCATTGGTCTTTTTTTTTGTCAATCTTTTTAATGTAAGATGTCCACCACAACAAGCATTAACTATTGTTATTGAAGTACAAACATCAACAAATAAAAAAGCATCAAGTGAAGAATTACAAACAAATGCTTGGACAAAATTAGCATTATTTGATAATAAAAATCGTTTGTATAGTGGTCGATGGAAAGTACCTTTAAAAGCATTACCAATTCGTCAAGATGAAAGTCTTGCTGTTATTAGTAGAGCTCCAACAGTAAAAAAAAGAAATTTAAAATTCAATTTATATATAAAGAAATTTTATTTTAGTTTGGACGTGCTGAATTATATTACAGATTAGTTAATTCACAAGATGGAGACGATCAATCTGATGCACCATTATCACTTAAACATCGAGATCATTATGCTTATCCTTTACAAGTATGTTTATTAATAGTTATTAATAATATGTAATGTTACAATGGAAAGAGAGAAAAAGAATCAATGACTGTTGAAATCGATTTCCTTAAAAATTTTGGTCTCTTCTATGTCAAACTCTCACATAAAGTGTTCGAAAGTGATTTCTAGTGAAATGAGTCATATAGCACTTGTTTGTGCTGTGCCTCAGTAGGTTGAAATTACTGAATTCGGCTGTTGATGATAATCAGCCTTTTTAATCTATCAGTTTAATGGCTAATCAGGCTAGTTCTTATGTAGTTTGATAGTGTTTTTCGAGGGCTACAAATTCTATAAAAATATCAAGAAAAAATATACTGTCTTCTAAGAAAAATTTTAAATATATTATTCTCGATACATGATTTTATGCTTTTCTTGACTGATATTTAATAGATTTCGATCTCAAAAAAGTGCGACGTGAGTTTAACCAATATGGTACTTGAAACCAGTCTTCAAAACTATGCAGACCTATACGAGTTTCAACTATTTATATGAACTTTTTTTTTTCATCGAAAAATTATTTTAACAGTCACAATGAAATTTTTGAAGCTGTAAAATGATAGTAGAACTCAAAATCGTGGATGAATAAACAATAAAATCTAATTTTTTGATGGAATTACTTTTTTCACCCATTCGTGAGAAAGTCCAGGAACGATTTTTTCGATGAAAACAAAAATTCATATAAATACTTGAAACTCATATAGATTTGCTCAATTTCGAATGCTGATTTCAAATATTATGTTAGTTTTACTGATGTCGTACTTTTTCTAAACGAAATCTACTAAATACCACTGAATTAAAGCACCTCATCATGGTTCCAGAATAGTAATTTTAAAATTTTTCAAAGGGACCAGTGTTTGTCTTCTCCATATCGTATATACCATTCTGTAGCACTCGAAAGCACTATCAAACTAGATGAAAACTAGCCTGACTAGTCGTCAAATTCATAGATAGAACAAAAGGTGATTATCATCAACAGTCAGATTCAGTGTACATGTGACAGTCATTAACTATTTCTGCCAACCTAGGCACAGTACAGATAAGTGCTATAGGACTAATTCCACCAAAAATCACTTTCTAACCCCTTGTATAAGAGATTGACATAGAAAAAATAAAACTTTTCAAAAGGAGGCGATTTCATCAGCTTTAGACTTTCCTTCTTTGTGTAGGCAGTCTCGAAAATCTAACTTCGAGAGGGTATATGAGATATTGATAAAACTTTGCATAGACGTTCTGCTCATGGAAATATATTAATAACAAAAATTGTACGCTTCTATATCTTACTTTTCAATGGTTTTCAGAGAACAAGCTGAAAAACAAAGCTTTTACGCAGACAATTTTTTATTAATATATTTCAAGTTACAGAGCTCTAACTGTTTCCATTTGAAAAAAAAAGTTCTTACTACTTTAAATGATGAAAACGGTTTGCTTTAGTTTTTACTATGTTTTATTTTGTGGATTATCGAAATTTCAAAAATCTGGAAAATTGAGAGTTTATCTAGCATTGATGATTAATTAGAAAATTCGTTTCCCTAATTTAAAAGTCTATAGACAAACATATCTATCGATAAAAAGAACATCATTCTCTATAATGAAGTATATTGAGAAAAATACTAAAGAAGATTTTCTTTTCTATAGTCTTTCTATTATTACTGAAAATGGTGGTGAAATATAAATAATTTTCATGTCAATCGAAGGGTTTATGTATGATTGTTGTCGAAAGAAATGCATCATGATAGTAGGCTGAGCAAGATTTGATTGTTTTTGACAAACTATTTGTTTGTTTTGCAGATGTTTCAAAAACTATTGATAAAAGTAGTCCCAAAATCTTCAAGAATCATAAATATTTTTGTGAATTCGTATACTATGGGTATTATGTTTATATGTTCATTTCAAAAATCATTATTTTTTGACGAAAATTGAGTTTTCTGATGGAAGACTTTAGATTTTTTAATGGAACCATAGCCCTCATTGACCCTATAGCACCACCACTAGGTATATCATGTTAATTTTCTTTGCTTTTATGAAAAACAGACTTGCAAAGTGAACTTGGCTATTTCTGAATGATTATTCTAAATATCTTTGTTAATAACTTTCTCATTACTCTTTGAATTAGGATGTTCTTCCTTTTATTCTAAAAGAAAAATGGAAAAAAATAAAAAAACACACCATATATATATCTTTTAAAATAGCTCGTCTTCCTTACATATAGATAATGCTTCTCTTATTCAAGAGGAATGAAGCGACAGAAATGAGAGAAAGAAGAAAAAAGAACCAACCAATGTATTAAATAGCAGAAGAGCAGATAAAAATGAATAGATTATCTAACTATAGATGCATCATGGTCAATGACCATGGCAGTCATCATTCTTATATCACTTTATAGAGGAACATGTCGCCTTTAGTGCTCTACAAAAAAATTCATAAATTCTCTATGTTCAAAACTAATTACGGGTTTCTAAAAGGTCAACTCAGACATTCTAAACTAGAAGTTCTAGAAGAATTTTGAACCTTTATTCTGTAAGAACATAAAATTCTGATTATAATCCAATATTCCTGACGGCTTCTTTACGAAGTCGAAAAATGAATAAACATTTTGTCAAATAACTTTTTCGTAACCTGTTACATTAGTTCTCGATTGAGAAAGATCATGAATTCAAATCATTTTAGACTTTCTTATAGTTACAGTATATATTTAACTAATGTACGATAGTTGAAGAAGCCCTTTTGGAAGGTTATCAACTCTAAGGTATAATTCATTGAAGGTGGCGCTATTTTCAACGTGTTGTAACAAAAAAGCTACCAACCCGATTTTCTTATCAGTTTGAATGTAATAGACATATGTTTCTATGACAAATTATCACATGATAGAATTCATCAGATATTTTAATTCACTTAATAAACGAGTTCCGCTTCATATTAATGCTACAGAATAATCAATATTTAATGCAAGACTCGTCTTAAAAGTATAGAAGTACATAGTAAAATAATTGTCAATTTTTCGTTTTAATCCAATCCTGATGTATAAGTCAGCGTTTTTTTTTCTCCATTTGTCAATCAAAATATTTGAATTAAACATTTATTTTTTGTTTCAATTTTTATTTAGTACCGAAATTGATCAAAAATACAACAAGTAAATATCATCATTTATATTTTCTCTTCATTATGTATATTTCTTTTTCTTTTAGAATTCATACAACAATTTTGTCAATTTATAAACCATGATAACTTCTATATCCAATGTTTCATTTTGTTGCTGTTGTGAACTATTCTCTTCGTGTATATAAACAATATTTTTTTTTAAATTTTTTCATAGACTATTATATTTGGGACATTTTTTTTTAAAAGATGAAACTGCAAATGAACAGGCATAGTAGGCAGAACCACCAAAAGAAAGAAAGAGAATTGAACAAGCAATAGCAGTACAATTAATTATTGAAATTAAGCGACACGAGAAAAACACGCAGAACACCATTCCCATAAATAAAACAAACAATTTCCATTTAACATATCTCGTTTTGTATTATCGCTATTGTTGTACTCAATCGTTCATACGACTATGCTCATTTAGTGTAATACACACAAAACATCAAGACAGAAAAAAAAGAGATTTCAAGGTTTTACAAAGAATACACACACGCACGCACACACACACACACACGAAAGATTTAATGTCTATCTGTTTTGTCGTTTAATTACTCGTCAAATTGTTGTTTACCTAGAATAGAGAAATAAATATTAATTATCCAATGTTAATTGAAAACAATTTACATGCATTAATAAACAAAGTATTACAAAGATTAGGAGGGGAAAAAAGAACACGAACGACAAATGAGACAATATCGAGAAACGAAGAGAAAAAGAATGTGGTTAGTTACTACTTTGAGAAGTAGTAGATGTTGTTGTCGTTGAACAATAATCATTGAGAATAGATTCGATAGAAGGAGGTATGTGAGCACCTCCCAATGAACCGGGATATGAACGAAATTTTGTTTTAGTATTATGACTGATTAATTCAATATTAGACAATGATGGTATTGATGATTGTTTTTTGGGACTTGTATTTACAAAAGAAGTTAAATTATTTTTAATTTGTGATGAACGATCTTGTTGATAATATATCACAGAATGAGTTGGAGATGATGATGATGAAGAACTTGATATTGGTATTATTAAGCATTTTTTATCATTTTGATTTAGATCATGACTAGATATAAAAGAATATTTTTCAAGACTTTCTTCATCATCCATGGAATTTTTATTCGAATTAAATATAACTGTTGTTGCATCTGATTGTGATGATAATGGTTCACTCGATATTGATATTGATAAATCATCATTTATTGATTCAATTAAATCATCAAGAAGACTTTTAATATCAATATTAATCGAAGAAGATATTTCATTTAATTCTATTGATGATGAAACATTTATTATAGGATGACTATCAGAATTAAAATCTTGTAAATTATTATAATTAAATTGATTAGAAAATGTTTGTAAAACAATATCACTATGTATAGAAGAAATTTTTAAATCATCACGTTCAGCTTCACTTCCAGCATCATAATCATAATAAGGTGAAAGTTTTTTAGTTGTTGATGAATAAATTTGTTCATGAAAACTTTCTTCTTGTTGATTAATTAAATCTAAATCTGTTTGTAATGATTTTAAATTTGTACGAAGTATTCCTTCTTGTAAACTTTTAAGAATTAATTTTTCATTTGAATCTTTTGATGGTGATTCAAGACTTTCTTGTCGTTTGAAATTATCAACAAATTCATATTTAAATGAAAGATTTTTCGTTCCTGGTGATTCATTTGTATTCATTGTATCATTTGAACGTTTTCTTCGTTGTATAATTCGTTGCTTTCCTCCACTACTTTCTTCACCTTCACCTGAATATTTTTCATTTTGTTGCATTAATAATGTAGAATTTGTATTTGTAAATTTCTCATCCGAACTTGAATTATCATACGGAGATTTTCTTTGTGTAGAATTATTAAGTGATGATGATACTGTACGAAAATATGTTTCGGTATCCGATTGAGAATTACGACGAATAAGTGATGGAATTATTCGATGTGGACTTTGAATGATCTCAAAATGTTCGGCATCAGTTTGAGCACGACGCAAGACTTTTGCAAATGATACATGAGGAGAAACATTTAAGTTCGATGAATTTGATAATTGATTTTGTATAATTTCATCATCATCTTGTTCACAAAGTTCATCATCATTATCAGATGATGTACTACTTGTAGATAATTTGTCACTTTTATTACTTAAAGATGAATCATCTTGTTCGCCAGCCAATTCTGCGATGACATCTCGTAATACTTGATTTACTAAATCATTTGCAACTCTACGATATTCTGCGTCAGTTATGACTTGTTGTTGTTGTTGAGATAGACAAAATGCTAGTGGACGTTGACAACTACTAGTTGGTTCTATTACATCAGAAAAAGCTGATATTGGTACATTATAGGATTCGGAATGTTCTGGACTTGATTCTTTTTCAATAACATCATCAAATGGTGTTGAAAGACGTTGTTGTTGCATTGATTCTAATGAATTATCTTTTGATATTGTTGTTAAAAATTCACTTGATACTTCATTACTTGGTGTTAAATTTTGATGTTTTCCATCATCAATAATTAATGCTGATTCTGATAATGTACGATGTTGTATTTGTGAATTTGTTATTAATGATCGATGATTATGTTTAACAGCATGTTTCATATTATAAAGTTCAGGACTACGAACAAGTTTACTTTTTTCTTCATCATGCAAATCATAAGCTGATTGAAAATGTTGTTGTGTTGTTAAATATTCTTTTTCATTATTATCTATTCGTTGATCATCATTTATATTTGATTCACTAGTTCGTTGTTTAACTTGATTGTCTATTGTTTCACTTACGATTTCAATCGGCTTGCTACAGAATGATTTAACATGATCAAATAAATTTTCTTGATTATTATCATCATCATTTGAATGTCTTAAATCGTTATTATCAATTAAACATGAAGTCGATAAAGACTGACTATCATATGTATGCATTGATGATGCACTATGAAGACTATTTTCACTAGTTGTTCGTTGATTAGATAACTGGTTAGGTTCGATTTCAATTGAATGATAATCAAGTGAATCTGTCGAATGTTGATTTATAGAATCTTCACTTGTTATCATTAAATCATGAATGATATTTATTTGAGGTTGAAATACAGATTGAATTAATAATTTATTAAGGTTATTTTCATTAGATGATGGATGTTCTTCATGACCTACAGTTAAATCCTTTATTGATTTTAATTCTTGATCATTATTAGAATTTGTATGAATCAATGAATCTTCTTGAATAATTTGAGAGTTTTCTATTGGTTCTTGTTCATTTGTTAATTTTTCATAACGTGACATACGTTGAAGATAATCCAATTGTGCAGCTAATTCTATTGTTCTATCAACTGTATATTCTTCATGTGAAAGTTCTAAATCATCCGAGATACTTGTCACTGACGATCGATGGCATGGTTTAAGATGTTCATCAATAATAATTGTTGGAACAGATTTTACAATTGTTTGAGAAACATTTGATGATAACTAAAAATAATGAAATTTAATGTTTTTTTTTCCCATACATTTTGTTCATTTAAATAATCAATACCATTCAGAGAGTTATTTTAATTCCACAATACAATGCTATGGAATTAGTGAATGAAGATTATTTATCGGAAAATTTGACGAGAAAATCTTCCTTACTTGAAAATGTGGACTCTGTGCATAAGGTAGAAGATCTCAATGAAGTATTAAAAGTTCTAAAAGTGTAAGGTCACCTAGACCTTTCCTATATAAGTATAGACATTTGAATGAAATTTCATCCTATAGCACGACAGATACAAACGAATCAAATGACATGTTGACCTGAAGTTTTGTCTATAAATAGCACTACATGTATCTAAAATGTTCTGAACATTTGAGCTAGACAAACAAAAAAAAATGTTCCCACATTGAGATATTGAATTCCTTCAAATCTCTTATATTCTAGAAAAGATTTGTGAATCGCATGCTATTTTTAGGAATTCAATATCTTATAAAGAGAACATTATTTTGAGCAAAAAAATTTCAGGTCACAATATTGTCATTTGATTCTTTAAAGCATGTCGTGCTTTAGGTTACAACTTTATTGAAATGACTATAACTATGTAGGAAAGGTTTAGATACTACTTACCCTTTTTGAAGATTTGTCATACCTCACTGAGTTCTACATTATGCACAGAATTCGAACTCAACACTAATTTTCAAGTTGGGAAGGTTTTCTCATGAGATACGAATATCATAACTATGTTTAAATAAACTTGTTACTAATACGAATTAAGTTCATGTTTCTTGAAGTTAATATTTTATTTCATAAAACGAATGGATCTAAGAAGAAAGCGACAACTAGTCATAATTTAGAAATGATCGAAGGTTTGACGAAAGTGTGATTTCTATAATTCGCTTCGCACAAAACTTCAATTTGCAAATATGTGATTCAATCACATAGAATATCAGGCAAGGATAAGGATAGCATCTGAAAAATAAAGATTTATCCCTTGTAATAGATTAATAGATGATCTCGCCAATAAGTAATACTTGAATGTTGATATTCACATTTTGAATTTATCGAAATCTTACGAAAACGCAAAAATTGAAATAGAGAGAAGCTTCAAAAAAATAAAGAAAACTTATAGAGAAAGTATAGAAATTTTTTTTATAGTAACTACTATTTATTCTCGTGCAAGGCTTCATGCTCGATTAGAAAAGCTCACGAAGCATTCGTTCATATCTAATGTTTCTCATCCTTGAATAGATTTGTTAGTTTTTTTTTTCTCGACTTCTCTGAATTATTTCTCCATAATAATTAGAAATTTTTTTTTTTGTTGACTTTATTTTTTAGTCTTGCGACTAATTCTCGTAGACGAAGACTTACGAGCTGTAAGTTTATTCTCGGTAGATTCTACAAATCACAAAACGAATGATATTTGCTATGTTCGACTATCAATATTAATCTTACAATGTAGATATTTGTACTGTTAGTTAAAGTCCTCTCAAAAGTCGCTCTTAGCCCAAGGACATTCAAATCGCATGAAATAATCAGGATATGTTGAGGTTGTAATAAAGAGATAATGATAAAATATTCCACCCTATACAATGATATTTTCTGAAGATGTTCAAGTAATAGAAGTCAAAAATAATTCATTTGACAACTCAAAATTCTCTGTAGGCCTTCATTCTATAAAATTATTTTCTTTTTTATTTGAAAGAGTATATCAGGATGTAGAACATGCCAGAATCATTTGTTTTTTAATTTTTACTTCTTAAGGCGAGAAAAGTTCAATGTTTCAAAAAATGGCACTCTAATTATAAAAGTACTCGCTTACATAACAGTAGCAAAGTTTAATTAAAAAACGGCTTCTGACATGCCCTGCATCTTGACATTGTCTTTCAAACAACAACAAAAAAAAAGCCGTTGGCGACAATGAAGCTCCTACAAGAATTCTAAGATACGCAGTCAAAAAATGATATAATTGTCAAACAAAAAAAAATGACAGAAATTTTTGGAGAAAACAAGGTGTCAAATAAAAAGTCATATATGAAAGATCAGACCTCGGGCTATCCTCCTATTTATTCATCGCAATAGTCGTGTTTTTTATGAAAATTGACTTTTTTTGAAGGAGTAAGGGGCTTGATCAAACGAGACATATTCAAGTCAAAACATAGCTTTTCACCACTAAACTAACAAATTTTCAGTATAGGCTGTTCTCAATCTGTATGGATCAGAATATTTGAATTTTAAGATTCAATCCTCAATAAGATTTACCTCAGATAACATAATATCATGTGCTTCTTTAATAATATTATCAACCAAAACTTGTACAACTTGATTTTCAATTTGTTCATGTTCTGATTGATCATGAATATGATCAACATGATTAATTAATGTTGGTTTTGTATGTTCGAAACCTTGTTCATATATTGTTGAATATAATGATTGTTGATCCTTTTTATGGGAACTAGGAATAATTCCATTTGATTGTGAATCACGACGATATTTAATAATATCTTGTGATAATGAATCAATATTTGTTGATGTAAAAATTTCTTCATGTATACGATTATTTAATTGTTTCGAAACATTATTTAATTCATTAATTAGACCACCAAGTTCATTAAATGATTTTGATGATATAGGTGATTTATCTACATTTATCGGTGTATCAAATTTATCTTCAAGTTCTTCTTCAATATGTTCTAATTCGATAACAAGATTAGTTAATTCACTAATTGATTTTGTTTTAACTATTGTTGGAATAGATGTATCATATGATTGTATTTGATCATTATCAGATAAACTTGATGATGATGATGAAGATGATGATAATGATAATGAATGAATATGATGAATTTTATGTTCAAGTGTTTGTAATTCTTGTATAAGACTACCAAGTTCTTGAGTTGATTTTGATGTAATTACATCAGAAACAAATAAATATGGTTGATCATATACTTGTGGAATTAGTTTTACGTTTTCTTCGTCATCAGATGATGATAAATATTCATCATTATATTCTTCGTCTTCTTCTTTTATTTCATTATCACTACTTGTACTACTATTGCTAATGGATGTTGATTCAATTAAATTAAATTCATTATCATAGTTTAGAAAAATATTTTCCATAACATCATTAACAATTTGAACTGCTGCTTGATAATATAAATAATTTTGTTCATATTCAATTATATCTGAAATAGCTTCATTTAATATTTGTTCAACAAGATTATTTGATGTTTTAATAAGAAGATTTTCATATTTCATTTGTTCTTCAGAATATATATCAAGATGTGTAGGACGAAAATGACTTTCTTCCATATCTTCTTCTTCTTCTTCTTGTTGTTCACCTTCTGCTTCTCCTTCATCATTATAAGATGTTATAGTTTTAGAAATAATATTTGAACGTTGTACATGAGATATTATTGACTCAGATGATTTCATATAATCTTCATTATACAATCGTAATGTTTGTGAACTATATAAATTTTCTTCATTGATATCTTCTTGGTCATTACTAAAAGAATCATTTTCAATTGGTTCAGAATTATATTTAATCAAAGATGAAGATGTTAAAATATTTTCATTATTATTTAATTCTAAATCAATAGTAGAACAAGGTTCCATAATTAATTGTTGTTTATTATCTTGTTTGAATGATGGAGAAGATACAATAATAAATTCAGTATCACTTAATATATATTTTGATTGATCTTCATTTGAAGATGTTTCAATAATAACCATATCATTTAAATTTTCTTCTTGTTCAGACATGTGAGAAGATTCAACATTTTGTTCTTCATTTAATTCTATATTTACTGGTGATATTGTATCTTGTTCTTCAATTAATATTGAAGGATGTGATAGTGAAAAATTTTCAATTTCATGTGTAATTTCGCATAATTTTGAATGCCATTTTTCCGCTGTTATAAATGATTCAGCCTCAACTTCAACATCAGGTTTTGTTTGTTGAGTTTTCATTTTTGGTTTTTTTGACCATGATGCTACAAGCATTAAATCACTCATAATTGCTCGAAGATTATCAATTGATATTGGTGGTGATGATGATGATGCTAAAGATTCAGTATGTGTTAATAATGGACGTTCAATAAACATTGAACGTTGTGGATCACCTTCATAAAAATTTTCAAATGAAATATAAGGTTTTTCAGGTATAAGAGTTTTTCTTTTATTTGAAATATCAATTTGTTTTTCTTGTTCGGAATGTTGATATAATGAACGATTTATATCACCTTCATAAAAACTTGAAGCACTTATTCGAGCATCTTCAGGTATTAGACGAGGAGGATTTGTCGGAGAAATTTTTTTTTGTTTTAATATTTTATTACTTTCAAAAAAGATATCACTTGTTACAACAGGATTTTCAGGTATAAGACGATTATATGTTGTTTTTGATGTAATTAATGATTTATTTGAATTATCTTTTTGATTATTATTTCTTATTAATTCAAATTGTTTTATGAAATTTTCTTCTGTTTGAGGTTTGAGAATTTTTATTTCTTGAACAATATATTGTAATTCACGAAGATTTTGTTCAAATAATTCAATAAAATTATAATCATCATGTTTAGATGTTTTATTGAAAAAATTTTCTAATTCATCTAATTCATATTCAATACGTAATTCATCTTGTTTATTTAAATGAATATGACGAAGAAATAATTTTAAATCATTTAATTTCACATGAAGATTATTTAAAACAGTTGATGTGAATTTATCATGTTTTACACAATCAATAATTGAATAAATTTCATCAATTTTATCATTAAATTTTTCAAATTGATCATTATATTGATGTAATGATGATGAATGTATTTTTTTCATTTCTCCTAATTGTCCATGTTGATCGGTTGTTGAACTTTCATTTTCTTCGGATATTAAATCATTAGTTTTATTTTCTTCGTCAATATTTGTTGGTGTTTTGGGAATTAAAGATGAAAGAGTTTCTTCGTTTAATTTTTCTTTAAAAATTTCTTCATCATCAGAATTATAATTAAGTATATGAAATGTATCTGGTAGTTTAATAGCAGCCCGCTTCATAATTGGTGATGAGAATCTTTTTAAATGTTTTTCGACTTCAGAATCATCTATTGGTTGTACAATCCAAAAAGAATTTATTGCTTTAACAAGTATATATGGACTTTTAGGTGATTCAGCATCATAATGTATTTCAATTGATTCTGGTAATATTTCAGTAATTGGTGATGTTTGAACGGATAAAGAATGTTGAAGAATATTCGTTTTATATTTATCAACTGGTGATGTTGTACTATCAGTTTTATGATTCGACTCAAACTGTTCTTTAAGTGATTCAAGTATTGTACCTGTTACAGCTGTAACACCTTCATTAACAGCTAAACGCGAACGAAATACAGATAATTCATGTTCAGTAGTTAATAATTCTGATTGTAATAAAGGAGATTCTTTTTCAATAAGATTTGTTATATTTTGTTCAAATGTTAATTTATCTGGTAATGGTAAACGACGTTGATGTATTGGTGATTGTAAATTAATATTTGAATCTTTTTTTTCTTGTTGATTATTATTTATTGGTTTATCTTCATTTAGATTTGTTAATGTTGATGGAATATTATTAAAATTTTGCAATGTTATATTGGAAGTTTTATTTGACATGTTCGATGAAAGTTTAGATGATGTTTTAGTAGTGATATGAAAAGGAGGAAAAGAAGGAAAGGTGGTAGAGGAAGAAGCAGAAGAAACAGAGATTAATAATGATAATGATTCTGATGCTGATGATAATGATGATAACGGCGGTTCTTCTACTTTGCTGGCAAGCGTAGCTGTAAACAATAGAAAACAAGGAAAAAAAACGATATGTAGTAGTTTAGCAATCAGTTCATTTCTTTTAGTTCTTCTATTTCTCTTTTAATGGATTAGATTGGAACAGAACGCGAGCAAAAAAACAACAGAGAGAAAATCTAGCTAACACACAGAAATGTCACTCTTTTTTTTTAGGAAAAAGAATAGCAAAAAAAAAGAAAAAGAACAGATATATATATATATAGAAAAAAACGAGAGAATTTTTTCCCGAGTAGGATTCTGTGTGTGATACGGTTCGCGCATTTGTGGAAAAGGAGAAAAAAAAAAGAAAAGAGGGTAAACGGCCATTCGCCATCATGCAAGCATATATAAGCAGACGAAGGGAAATAGGTGTAATAATAGAAAAAAAAATGCGAAGCTAGTCACTAAGACAAGCATCCAAAGGGAAAAGTCTTTTGTCTTTGTTCATATTTTATTTTCTTTACTTTGATTATCGTTCACTACGCCTTTTCTTTTTCTATTGTTTACACATATTCAATAGTTGTAAGTGAATGATGATAAAACAAAACCAAGAAGAAGAAGAAGAAGAAAATTACGATAATATGAAGAAAAACAAAAAAAAAAATGTTAAGAAATACAACAACAATAGGACAACAAACATGCAAAGAGAACAACAACAGTTTCTTTTCTTTTTAACCGTATCACACACATACTTCCTTAGAGAATATATGTTTAACATTAATATATATACACAAACATAATGCAATATATATGTATTCGCGCATATAAAAAGTTTATTTTGTTTAGCTACATGCGGTATTTAGTTTTATTAATTCTAATAATCCCATTCTCAAAAACCATGCTTTATCTTTGCTTACATTATTGATTTCTCGATTCATTTTGAGCTAGAAAAATGATTTATTAAATTTGTATTTTTAATTTATTGATTTTTATTTTAAGTTTTTTTTTCTTAATCTCAATTCTATGAGATAATAAAGATTTTTGTTTTATTTATTTTACCTTCTTTATCAAATGATGATTGAACATTTGTTGTTTCGAAATTATCTAAAATAATATAAAGAAAAAAGAATATTTTCATATTCATAACATATTTCTAATATAAACTCTTAAGTATCATTCAACATGCGCACACTTCATACGCAAACCTTGATGATGAAGATTCTGATTGTATTGAGCAAGAACTTCAGTAAGAAATGTCATATCGCATTCATCAATCGGTTCGCTATTATCTTCAATTATTTCGATTATAGGCGTCGAAGCTATGTTATATAGATAAAATGAATTAAGACAAAAACAAAAACAAATTTTCGTAAAACAAAAATTTGGTTTTTGTCATGCCGAATTGAAGTAGAAAAGGAAGAGAGAGGAAAAGGAAGGTTAATGACATGCCAGGCATATATGCATGTATATATATATATATGAATATATTCGTGCTTGGTTTAGTTTGTATGCGATAGGTTCTACCTTGAGGTGAATTTTCACTATCAACTGATTCAACAAGTTCTTCATCACTTATGTCAGAATCTAAATGTTGTGGTGTTGTTGTACCACCTGTATTAAATGTACTAGCTGCTGATACATATGTCGGACTTGTTGTTGATGATGATAATGATGGAAAATTATCAAAACTTTGATAGATTGTTGTCATTGATGATGATGCAGTTGATGATATGGTTTCCGATGATGAAGGGACAGTTGATGGTAAGGTTTGTGTTTGTTGATTATCATCATTTAAACTTCCGCTTGAACCACGTAAATTATCATAATCAGATAGAAATGAAAAAATTGATGTTGTATTACCAATGTTTTGCGGTAAAATTACTGTATCTTCATATGCTGTTGGATCATTTGAATCAAGCCTATCTTGTTTACTATTAGTTTGTAATACTTCCGTGTTATTAGAAGTTTTATTACTATTAGAGATTAATGTTGATGTGTTATTTAATTCCTCATCGGTGTTAGTAATTGTTGTTGTTGATGAGAGTATAGGTGTTGATGGACTAGTGACTTTTACTGAAGTTGTGAATAAAGGTGTTGCTTTTGTTGTAACAATATCAAGTAATGGTAAATTTTTTTTAGTAGGGTTAGACGAAGAACTTAACGAAACAAACATTAGTGGACGTGATGTGGTCTGAGTGGGTAATATGTGAGTTGTAACTTTAGAATGAGAAAATGATGGCATATTATCACAAGGTTTATTATTTTTTTGTTCTTGTTCCAATTGTGCAAGTTTATCAAATAAGATTTGTTGATTATTATTTATAGTTGAATCAAAATTTGCGGATTTAGTTCGTTTTTCAACTTCTTGTAAAATGTTTTCTGTTAGATCTTTGGCCAATTGAATTATTTCAATTGGAATGATTTCATTTGTTGATTTCTCTAAACTATTTGATTGTTCAATAGAAGTAGAAAATGATTTGATTGTCATTGGTTTATCTATATCATTATCAAAAGATTTTGTTGTTAATGGAAGATTAGTGTTTATTGTAATACAAGTTGGTTGAACAGAAAATGTTTCAATATTTTTTAAACTATTTGATATTTGACAATTAAGTGATGGATTTGCATTTAATAATGATTGTCGTAAGATATTTGTATGATGATCATTTTGTTGTACATTATTAAATGTATCAACAATATTTAAAACTTTTTTTACAACATCATTTGTTTGTTGTATTACATTATTATCATTTTCATTTTTATATAAAGAAAAATGTCTTGGCGGTTTAGCTGGTGGTGGTGAACTAACTTCAATCGATGATGATGAACCTGATTCATCACTTAAACGTGGTGGTTTAGTTGGTGATGATGTTAATGTAATTGGACTTGTTGATTCATTTGAATCAATAGATATTTCATTTAATTGTTGATCATGATTTTCAATAAGAATTGATGATGGTTGAGAAAATGAATGAACAATAGGTGAATGAGAACAAGTTATTTGTTGTTCAGTTAGATTTCCATCAAAAGATTTCTTTTTTTTTATCGTTCTTTTTAATGGTCTAACAACAGCATGTTTAAGTGCATTAGCTAATGCACGTGCTGGTTCGGGTATTATTTTCGATTTTATTAAACGTTCACTTACAGGTGGTTGATTAGCACGTATAGGTGCTGGAAAAGAATGAGATGAAATATAAAAACAAAAATCTTAATGATTTATTTTGTTTTTACTTACGTATATCATCTAGCATTGAAACAGTTTGTTCAGCTAATTGTTGTGTTGGTGTTGGTTTTTCATTTATATCTGATTGAATTGATGTTATATTTGTTTGATTATCTGGTAAAGTTGGTGTTGCTTCTTGAACAATATTAACAATACCAAAATCACCTAATTTTGATGAAGATTTTTTTGATTGAAATTCTAAAATAATATTTTATTTGTTTTATTTTTATTTTTCAGATTTCTTGTCTGATATTTTTTTGTTTTACTTAAAATTCGTCGTTTATTCTTTTTGCATAAACCACAACATAATGTTCGATTTCTATTCAAACAGAGTAATGGCATCTCTAATCGATTAGTATTCTGATGCCTAATTATAGAACACTCGGTCGAAACATACAAATCTCTTTTCTTTTATACCAGATGCGCATTCATATCAAGCATTTGCTTGTATATATATATATCAGCAATATATTACAAGAGAAAACAAGTCCGATTCTCTATCTCTCTATATATTTTTTCTTTTCTTTTTATTTGATAGAAAAGAATATTGGCAAGATGATGAGAGATAGATAAAGCAAAGATTTCCCATTTTGCTCTCATAACTAATAAAAACAATGACGTGCATTCATATTCACCTTGTAAATGAATGGCAAACATATATAGATTGATAATCGACGGAAATAATAAGATGAAGATGGATTATATATATATATATGAATAATTATTTTATTTATAGAAATCAGATACGTGACCTAGTCTTTTTTTTTCTTCTATTCGATGAGCTAGAAGAAATAATAATTGCATGTTTTTACTTATAAACAATATTTCGCTTTTAAGGAACAGGAAAAAAGATTTTCATCGATTCTATTAATCACAAGCAACAATGACATTGAATTTATAACTAACAAAGAAAAGTCTACCAGTATGATGTCTAACATATAGTTTAACGATCTAGAATTTTAATGATTCACATATATTTTATAACTATTATCTATTGACATATTTGAAAACAAAATATGTTTCTCTTTTCTTTTTGTTTTGACATTCCATTCTTTATTAGCAAGCAACATAAAATATTTTATGACGAGAAATATACAGATACACAAGAGAATTCTTATTATAAATAATAATAACTAAGAATTAACATTACGGGACGACAATTCAATATAAATACAAAAAAAAGAAAAAATTTATTAGCTTTTTTCTAACGTTTTAATTCAATGTTCATATGCATGTCATAGACGTAATATGTCTTTTAACGTTCCATTAAAATATTTAATTACTATCGTAAATTGTCTCTTCTTCTCATTTATTCAATGGCAATCATTATGTCGAGCAGAAAAAGACTTTTCTTGTTGACCTTTATTAATAAGAGAAACTAACTGCTACGCCCACTATTACAAATAATTTTCAGTGTAATTCTCTTAACTATGAACGACAATGACATTAGATCATAAATTAAACAAATAACATACCCGAACTAGCTTTTGGCGTTATTCGTCCTTCATCCATATCTGTGCTTCGTTGCTTTGATAATGTACCATATGGATCATCGAGATCAGCTAAACCAAAAAAGAAAATTTAATATTATATATAGATATAGATATAGATATATATATATATGTATCTGTCAAAATGAGAACAAATCATAAGTACACAGCAAAAGGAAAAGGCTATCACATGCTTTAAATCCAAAAACATCATACAGAAAGAACAACAAAAGAACCTTTATCACGTGATAATCTATTTAATTTTTCTCTTAAACTTTCAAGATGCATCATTTCAAATGGATGAGATTGATAATTTAATGGTGTTATTGAACCTGAATAATTCTGTGGATGATATATTGAATAATAACCACCATAACGTGATGCTGGTGTAGGTGCTTTACTTGAATCAACAAAATATAAAGGACCATCACGTTCACCTTTAAACATAAATTAACAACAACAAATATTGACGAACAAATTTTAAAGACAAAGAATAATATTTAATAAAGCAAACGAAACAACAACAATAAACGAAACATTTATTATTTATAAACCTAAACTTTTTCTCATGGCAACAGTAACAATTGTATCTGCACTTGATGTTGATGATGATGAAGGAATAAAATCTTTGGAATGATCACGTTTAACCATTTTAAGTGGTTCTAATTGTTTAAATTGTGAGACTATTTTTTCATTGGTCGGTTTTTTTCCTCCTAGATCATCTTCACCTATTTCTTCAAATGTTATCGTTTTTATAATTGTTGTTGTTGGTATTCGATTAGTATCATCAGTTAAGAAATCTTTATTTTATTATAATGATTTTTTAATGTAATAAATAATTAACAAACAAGAATATATTTACTTACTAGATTTTCCTTGTCGTCGACGTTCATATTCATCATCACTTTCAAAACCTTCATCCAACTATTTTATACAAAAAAAACATAACTAATTAGATATAACAAACAAGAAAATAAAACATGTACTCGTCGACCACTAATTGCTGTGCCATCAACACTACCACCTCGACTATTGAGACGTGCTTTAGCTAATTCTTTTTCTGCTGCATCAGTAACCCATTCAATATTAAATACACAATTGTGAACAATATTTTCTTTTCCAATTTTACGTAAGGCTTGTTGAAGACAATTTCCTAGACAATAAAAAAAAAAGAAGATAATTACACATATTACGACAAGGTCTAAAAAAAATCTTGCTTACAAAACGGAACGTCTCATAAAGAACTGAAACTACTTTCTGACTCGATCATGTCTAGAGTTCTCGATTAGAAGAGAACGAGAAAAGATACTCTTGTATTAGAGCCCATTGGATCGAAAATTTTCGGAGCCTGTCGAATCATATATTGATACTTTTAATGAAAATTTCTAGTCGAAATAAAATAGCTGTCCCGGAAGATGTGAGATACGTTTTTTCGGTGTTTTTGGATTTTGATGACTAGGACAACTTACATATTTCTCATACAAGTCATCTGAACAATATCTAGTGTGTAGCCCATAGGATTCAAAGTTTTTGGACTCGGACCAGACCTCCCCCCCGCAATATGCGACTTTCTACCAATTTTGTATAGCTTCGCGATAACTTTAGACAGAAACTAGATTATTTTGAAACACCAGTATGTCTTCCTCTCGCAGAAAGTGAAATAAAAGTAAGCAGATAATGTCGTTGAAAGGTGAATAGAACTGGAGGAGGAACGATCAAATGACAGATTGTCTGTTGTGGAAGGAGTCAGATCATGATGAGTTTTGTTCTTCTCGGTCTCTCATTCACTACTTCTAGCACTCTGAAGATGAAAGCACTTCCTGTTGAGTGTGTTTTTGAAAAAAAGATCGACCGCACAGCTCTCTATAGATAGAAAACAAACAAGAAGCAATTCTAGTAAAGAGAATAAATAGTAATTTAAGTCATATAATGCAAGACTTTTCCGCTCGGAATAGATAGTCGAATTTTACGACGGATTTAAAGTTTTAGTCAATATTGAATATATTGTTCGGATAGAAGTCTCCAAAAGGATTGATTTGTAATTTTGTATGATCTACTGTATCATAATCAAAAGAAGCTAAATTAAAAATAACTGGCCTATTTAATCTTGTTGACTTCATGAGAGAAATCTTCCTATTAATTAATCGTTTTTTTTTGAGTAGAGACTACACACATTACATAGATCCAAATGAACTATGAATATTCTGAAAAAGAAGTCGAATCGTTAGCTTATCATTGCCGAGATACTGCATTTTTAAATGAATGTTATTGTCGAGAAAAATTGATGTTCGAAGAATATTTCAGATCTTGTTGTTGTTCTTATCTTCTTATTTCAAGAAAGAAACAAATTACAAGACCTGGAATTTTCACAGTAAACTATTCTCTTTAAGTTCTATCTTTGTACAAAAATTTCAAGTCCAAATTCGAAAATGAATTTTTCTGAGAAACTACGACACTCATTTTAAAAGTGTAGTATCTACGCAACAATAAGCTAAGAGACCGAACTGTTTTTAGGATGTCTAAAGCTCATTGGAGTCTATATGATTCACACAATTTTTCATAGACAATTTTTTTTCCTTTTTTGTTTACCTGTTGCTTCATTTCCTCGTGATTTAAGCCAATAACGTAACATTTGTAATGAAGCATTTTCTCCAAATTCGTCCATAATTTTTGTAACTTCGTCTTCACTTAATTCAAGTTCAGCAGCAAGTGCTGGCCAATCACTTCCAAGTAATCGTGCAATATCAGTTAAGCGTATTTCACCTTTTCTATACATATCATCCGATTTCCAACCTAAATATAGAAAAAAAAAAACACTTACATGATGGCCAATTATAAAACTATTTTTTCTTACTCTCAGAATGACGATCACGTTCAACAGAATGTAAAGCTCGAAGACGTTCTTCACTCTAAATCGAAATAAATATTCAAATTACCTTTCAAAAACTTCGAAACAAGAAATTCTACCTCAAGTAAATCCTAAAACAAAACAAAAAATAAATGATATATATATATATATATATATATTAATATAAAATATATTATTTTACTTTATCATAAGCTGGTATAATAATATTTAAATTACAAATTGTTTGTAATGCTTGTGGATCAATAATTGTTGTTGATGATAATGATGATGGTTGTCCATTTGTCATTGTAATTGATGTTGTTCGTTGTATAGATGTTAATTTTCCATTATCTTTTGAGAAAATTAAACGTCCTGATGGTTCTTGTTCTTGATCACGAATACGAACAACACATGGTAAACGATTTTCTTTAAATGCACGAAATACTAATGTTAATTGTTCGTTTGTTTTAATAATTGTTTGTAAATTATTTGATTGTAAATCAATATAAATTGAATTTCCATTAACAACTTCAACTTCTTTTGATTTAGCTATTTCAGTAAAATGTTCTTGCATTTCAAGTGTTTTATTTTCTTTATCATCTGTTATGCAAAATAAACGAACAAGTGCTTCATTAAGATCATGTCGTTTAGCAAATACAATAAAACGTGACATATATGGAACTGATATAGCTTCACGATATATTTCATGTGCTAATTTTAATACATCTGGTGTACCTTGAGCATCAATTAACCAAAATCTTTATACAGAAAAGAAAAACAAAAACAATATTTTGATATAAAAAAATTAAAAAAAGAAATTTGTTTTTTTTTTACCGAGCTGAAACCGTTGTTGTAAATGTAGCACAATCGTTGGAAAATGTTAATGGTGTATGTCCTGTAATATCATCAAATTGAGCAGCATGTGTACCACCAGTTATACTACATAATAAACGTAATGATTGAGAATCACTTGTATATGCATTTGCATGTTGTTGATGAGAATGTTTTCTTGTTGTTGCTGATTTACTTGGTAATGGAATTGTTAATGTTATTGGTTTATGAAATTTACGACGACGTGGTTCAACAGTTATAACAGGACTTACATTAACACGTGAACCAAATGAACGTTGAACTAATTGAGATGAAATTGGTAAAACATGAAGTGATATACGAATACGTTTTTGTAAGGCTTTTTCTGGTATATGTGCTTGAACAGTTGAAATTATTGATGATATTAATAAACCACCTTGTTCATCAATAAAATGTGCTTCTTGACGAATACGTGTTATTAATGCAAAAAAACGAGGAAAATCATTTGTTATTATACGTGTTATTCGACGTGAATGAAGTTCTTCAGCATTATCTAAATCTGAAAAAAACAAAATAGAAGAAAAATTATATTTTTGTTGATAGGAAAAATTTACCTTCGGAATCAACAACATCACCAAGTACTTCACGTACTGCTTCATCTGTTGTTGGACCTGTATGTTCAGTCCATTTTTCACCATTATCGCTTCGTAAAACAACGATTTCACGTTCACGATTACGTAATGAAGCAAAATGTGGTATTTCAAGAATAACAGGTCTAAAATAAATTATTGATTACCTATGATATTATATCTAAACAATTAAATTTTAATTCTAACAAAAATCTTTTCTTCTAATCTGCATAGAATAGAACAAAGATTTTCTCAATCCGATTCAATCATAACTCTGTCTTCTGGTATCTTTTTTTCTCCAAATTATATTTGTCTAAATCAAAATTATAAAGGTTTCAATCGTTCAACTTCTCTTCAGAATAGAATATGAACGGGATCAATTTTTTTTTTGGTCCAGGCCCTGGTAGTTTCTTTTCTAGTGGTCGTAGTCTAGAAAAAACTATTCCAGAATTTATTCATATCATACTTATAGAATTCTTCAATATTCGTATTTTGCTTTATATTCTGATTCACATGAATCACTTAAAATCATAGTGTATTCTACTATCATCTTGAGTTTTGGTTCGGTCAATTTTTTTCTCGTAGTCTTCGGTCTTGCACATATTTACTCAAGATTAGGTGAAACTACTTGTTTAACATTTTAGATAAAACAATTGGAATTGATTAAAAAAGAGATATTTGTATGAGTTATTTGTGATCAATATTCTTACCCAAGAAATTTGCAAGCAACAGGTCCAACTTCCAAAACACGTGCTGCTAGTGCTTCACCTTCATTTAATGGTGGTGGTATAGTTAATTTTTCACGTTTAACAAATCGACATGTTATTCTTGTTGGCATACTAGCACGTTTTGGTGGAATTATAACTCTTACACCTGAATGTCGACAACCACGCATTGCACCACCACGAGCATCGACCAAAAAGCTTACCAAAAATCTATACATACATATAAACAATTATAAATATAAATATGTATTTATATATATAAATATATATGAAGAAAAATAAACAAATTAATCAATCTAAGAAGATTTATCTAATCAGATAGCTAAACATGCAAGCACTTACGATCGATACTGAAAACGATCCCTAGAAAAATATGTATAAAAAAAAAATCAATACACTGCACACACATGGCAACAAACAATCATATACAAGCTTTAAATCAGCAAAAAAAAAACATTAAAACGTACCCTGCATGACGTGGTTTTGTAATTGTTTCATTATCAGAAACAAAAGTTTGTGGTGCTATTGTTGGTGTAGGTTGATCATGTAAATTATCTCGACTTTCTGTCCAATGATCTTTTGCTGCTAACATTGGATATTCTGTCTCTTCCTACGAAAAAAAACAAATATAATCATATAGAAAAGAAAATCCTAATGAATATTTGTACTTTAATAAATGATGTTTGATTAAGTTTATTTTCTTCTGCTTCAGTCATTAAAACACCTTCACGTAAATATTGCATATGAACATTTGAACTAGCATCACCAAGCATATCTAAATATCAATAGATAATTCATATGCGCATATATATAAACAAATCCATATGCTATGATATTAGCATGAGTCATGCGCGCACATCCCAAGGGTAATAAACATAATCATGATGTTTTTTTTTTTTTTTTTATATACATTCGTTGACAGGCAAATAGGGATATACAGACATATGACTACCTTTAGTCGTTTTTTTATGTATTTTAACATTGTCAGTAGAATTTGCCGATATGAAATATCCAATTTCAGGATAAATAACTTCAATATTATCTTCAGCTAGAGAAGCTGATGATAAAAATTTTTTTTTTCTATTAAATCTTTTTTTATTTTGTTGATCGAAAGAAATTTACCTGTTTCATCTTCTGAATCAGTTAATGGATGTTCTTCATGTGAAACTTCTGGTGCTTGAATCTAAAATTAAAAAGAAAAACAAAAAAGAAAAGAATTTATTTAATTTTATTTACCTTATAACGTTCTTCGGTTATTAATTCATGTTTACTAGCTATTGTTGTTTCAGTAACAACTTTAAGTTCTTCAACAACAGATATATAACCAAGACGTTGTGCAATTGATAAAGCTGTCATTCCATGCTATAAGAAGATAAAAGAATTCTTATTTTTTTCAAAAAACTAAAATTTGATATTTTAAAATCTTACTTTATTTGTTTTATTTGGTGATGCACCATATTCAAGTAATAATTTAACAATCATAACATGACCTTGTTGAGCAGCTGAATGAAGCGGTGTAAACATGAGCTTAATAAAGCAAAGAATTTACAATAAAAAAAAAAAAAAAACATAAATAAATCTAGTCTTACATTTGTTTCAATATTAACATCGGCACCAACTTTAAGTAAATAACGAACCATATTTATTTGACCAAAATGACAAGCAACATGTAAACTTGTATAACCACTCTAGAAATAAATATCATTGAAATGTTTTATTTTATTTTGAATAAAAAAATAAATAAAACTATATTCATATGAAATTTCTATTTCTTATTTAGAATATTAAATTGGCTTGTAAACTTGCATAGCCTTCTAATAGTTTTTTTTTGATTATGTTTGTAAATAGAAAAGTGCGCTTAGTGTCAAACGATTCCCTGTTCTATTATCTACAAAATTGCATAGTAGTCTTAGATCTAAAGTTAAGAAGATCGCTCTTTCTGACCTAAAATTTTCGGTTATTTTATTTGTTTTTAATGTTTGGTATGTGGATTTAAATGTTCTCCATCTAAACAGCACATTTTGAGGTAAAATCCTTTTTTTGCATATAAAACAACTCAATTTTATGCTAAAAAAGCCAAAAAGTGCAACTTTCTTCTACGATTTTTAAACAAGATATTAAAGTTTTCCTGTCTTTTCTGCTACACTGTACGATCGATAATGCGAGACATTTTTTTATGAGTGGTTCAATTGAATTACGGTGCATGATTTTCTGTCTCTTAAGAATATTGTACCGATGTAGTTTGGCAGATTTTACAAAATTTACACCATCCAAAGAACAGCTTTTTTAATATTGCCATCAGTGTTTTACTTCTTCTAAGCCTAAGGTACATTATTTTTCTAATAAAAAAGCAGCACGCCCACCAGATTTGTTCCTAGCTGCCACAAAAAAAAGATTTCAGCCTTAAAAAAACGTATTATGAATGTTTGCGGAGAAGAAAATTCAGGTAATTTTCGACTCTTGTTCTACCAAGACCTCTCAGAAGAAAGCATTTAAGAGTTTTGAGTCTATGACAACTTTTATTCGACTTATTGAGATCTATTTATCCTGAAAGTTTCGATAATTTTCGCTAGCTCGTTCTCGAGAACTGATCGGAAAGAGAAGTTCCATTAAGAGTAATCGCAAGAATTCAACAATACTGAAGTACTCCGATATTTATCCATTTGTATCATATAATAACTCTGTATTCGAGATTTTTCAAGAGATTTTTATCTATCTCTTAGAAAATCTTTAAGGACTAGTTATTTCATTATATATTGATATTTAGAATGGTAAATCTTTCTTATGAAAGTTTCCGATAGCCATCACATTGAATCAATACTCTTTATAATTTGGGAAATTTGATGAACGACAATAAGAGTCCAAGATTACAATGTAAAATCTGGATCAATTTGAAAGGAAGGAAAGAAGATGAAAACACTTATGATAAAAGCTGAAGATTGTATGCAATAAAAATGAATATTTCCATTAAATATAGGGTGTACCACTTAATGTAAAGCAGCTCGTTTCTGTGTCATAATGTTCTTTGAAAATGACCTTCACTGCACATAACAACAAACCTATTATATCATGTCTCGCCTGTCCAAAGCAAAATCAAAAACTATTGCAAATTATTCGGAAAACGTCCTCCAAAGTAATCTGTAGATATTGGAGACAGTCAATGTTCTTCGATTCTCTCGTCAACGTTAAACATTAGAACTAATGATCTCATATGATTCTATAGAGAGTTGAAACAATGGATCATTTGAAACCACGCGTACTTGTCTATTTATAACCATGGATGAGATAAAAAGAAAATATGAATGATGTCATTATCTATAGCAGACACATTATTATAAAAATTCACATCATTCCTTAGATACTAATATTCTCTAGATATTCGAAAACTCATGACCTTCTAATACGTATGGTGAATTTTTTTCCTATAGATGACCTTGTAATGAAAGAAAACTTTTGTTGTGAGAGACTTTTACTTACAAGTGTCTGTGCATTAATATCAGCATTTTTATTAACTAATGCTTCAGCACATTTAACTCGATCTTCTTGTGCACATAAATGTAATGGTGTTAAATGACATTTTGATGCTATGTTTGGATCAGCATGATTAGCTAAAAGAAGATAAGTCATATCAGAATGACCATCTTGACAACTTAAATGTAATGGTGTAAAACCACCCGTTGATTGAGCATTTGTATTAGCATTATATTCCAATAACATTTCAGCAATGTCAAGTGCGTTTTTCTTTGCAGCTATATGTAATGGTGTATAACCATTGCGTGCGGTTACATGTGGACTAGCACCATGTTGTAATAAAATAAGTGCAATATTACTATGATTATAATGAACAGCACAATGTAATGGTGTTAAATCATTCTAAATATTAAAAAAAGAAATAATTTCAAAAACAAAATATTTAAATTTTTATAATTACATACTTTGCCTTGTATATCTGGTGTAGCTCCTTTTTGTAGAAGGAGATTAGCAACTTTAATATTACCATATTTACTACAAATATGTAATGCCGAAAAATTTCTCTACAATACAAAAAAAAATTGTTTTTTGT